ACTATAAAGAACTATAAGATATTAAATAGAACTATACAGAACTATAAGATATTAAATAGAACTATAAAGAACTATAAGATATTAAATAGAACTATACAGAACTATAAGATATTAAATAGAACAATACAGAATTATAAGATATTAAATAGAACTATATAGAACTATAAGATATTATATAGAGCTATACAGAACTATAAGATATTAAATAGAACAATACAGAATTATAAGATATTAAATAGAACTATAAGATATTATATAGAACTATATAGAATTATAAGATATTAAACAGAACTATAAGATATTAAATAGAACTATAGAATATTAAATAGAACTATACACCCTAAAAATAATATGAATTTTACACCAAACATAATATATCCAACAGAACTTACAACAGAAAGAAGTAACAATAATAATAATGAAGTCCATGCTAATTATATAGATTTGGACATTACTTTTATAGAAGGTACAGTGTGGTTGACTGTTTTTGATTAAAGAAGATAATTTAATTTTCCCATTCTTGGTCTACACACACCTAACAGTGTTATTCAATGTATCATGTTAAAAGGTATTATTATATCTCAACTAAAACGGTTCTTAATAGTATGTAATAACTATAATTTTTATGCATAATGTTTTATTATTAAACAATAAATTCAAAGATAATGGCTATAGAGAAAGGCAATTAAAGAAATACATTGCTTTATTTTTAATAAATACAAAAATATTTTATAAACTAAACTATCGATTAAGGAAAATATGTTATAAATAAAATATAGAGGGAGTTAGTTATTTTAGCTTATAAGTAGCTAATAATAATTTTTCTAGTAAGTTTATTCAGTATAACCGGGACAGAAAGACTAACTTCAAGTGGCTGGGCTTGTCTAGGCCTTCTCGTATTATACTTGAATAAATCTTCAGGAGAAAGGGGGAGGTTGGGAGATAGAACTATATAAGAAATTTTATGGATATATAATAAATCATCTATGTAACGGAAAGTGTAAATGTATAAGCTAGAATTTAAAGTATGCTTCATAAATGAATTTTCATAAAAGAACAGATACAGGTTGGCCATATTTGAAGAAAAGTTCGTTCCCATTGGACTACTCACCGTTTGCTTATATACTTTTTTTGTTAAAAACAATATAACTGTTATAAATATAGAAATGCAGTATATTTTTACCTTGAATTCTAGTAAACGTAAATTTGGGTATTGTTATTTCATTATGTATAAAGTTATCAAACAAATAATTTAAAACCCCGATTAATTTTTTAGGTATATTTAAGTATACAATGTAGTAAAGTCATATGTAAAAAAAAAAAGACTGGTAGTTTTTGAAGAATTTAAATTATTTAAACATTTCAAAACTAGAATTTATTTTTAATAAACCAAAAATAATTATTCTGGTTATTTGAAGACTGTGTTTTTATAGTTTTCAAACAAGACATCTAGAATATTGTTAAGTACTACGGAAACAGATTTAATGATTGTATTTAAATAATTAGTAATAAATCTGAACTTCACAGGATTTTTATGCAATTTTGGAATTGCATATAAAAATGGTAAATTCGTAAAAGAATAATCTGTATGGATATAGCATTTTTTAAATAGCTTTCTTTAAATTAGTAATAACATTATTCTTCTTTAAAGTACTTTTAGTAAAATACTTGTGGTATAAATTTCATCAAGTAAAATTTGGGCAAATAGTTTTTTAAATACAAAACCAAAATTACAGCCAGCTATATCAACCGGGGTAATAACGAATTGTTTTTGAATCTATTTTATTTTTAAAGACAATGAAAGAAATATCTAATTTATAACGAGATAAGTTTAAGGTTCTTAATTGATTTTTTTATGAAATTAATAAAATATAATTTCCATTCAAGAAAGAAACATGGCGGATAATACGATTGTTTACTTATTTTAACTATATAATCATTAATATTTTTTTTCTAAGTCTTTTAAGATTTCACATTTTTTGTGAGTTTTAAAACTATATTTAGTACCTTTCTTTAATAATGATTGTAATTCTATATCATTGACAACTTCTAAATTTGGTTATGATTATATAATTATGAAAGACATCTTTAAAAACACTATTATTACAGTTATACGGTAAGTTGTCAACTTCTATTTGATTAAAATCTTCAATTATTTTTTCATAGTTATAGAGAAGATGTCCTATAGGTATATTACATTTAAAACTGACTATTGGTTGAAATGATTTTATGGAAAAAATATCTCCTTGAATACTTTTATGAATCAGGGAAGGTAAATATAAATCATTATAAACTTTATGTTTAAAATCAATTACTATATAAGATTTCTTTAGTGAAGGGAGTACAGGTATACGATTCCATTTTAATCTAAATTTAATTAGATCTATAATTAAGTCTTTAACATGGATATTTTTAAACTCAACGTTTAACAGATATTTGAGTTTTGCATTTGTTAATACAAATATTTGTTTTATTATAAATTTTGCCAGATTAACAGATCTGTCAAAAACAAATCCAAAGTTTTACAAACACTTTGAAAATCAATCCATTTCT